TGTACTAAAATTGGTATAAGCATGATGAAGTGGGCTATGTGAGCTTCACATTTGTAAAAAAGAAAGAAGATTTTTTTGGTTCGAGAATAAAATTTTGGCCATAATCCGAAAGGGTGCGTACACATGAAAAGCTAGCTTTACAGGAGGTAAAATTTTGACAACAGCACACGACGCAAAATTGCAAAAAATCAAGTTTTACAACTTTACTGGGACCCAGATAATTCTGCAACCAGGTAGGTAATCTTTAATTTCAGACAGATCTTGAAAAAAAAAATTACTAGTTGCGGGGGTCAAATTTTGGGTTGAAAATAGCAATTTTTGGCATTTTTTGGTAATTTTTGATGTGGTAACCATGGTTTACACACAAGTGACATACATAGAAAAAAGAGGTTTATACACTTCTCAGTACTTTATATGTATTGTAAATGTAATGCAGTTTACAAATATATATACATGTATACATGTGTTGTGTAGGGTAAATCCGCTGTGTTTACATTTCCTCGACATGTGCCTTGTTTATCAGAGTCGGGCCATTTCTACTGTATTCTGCTACCTCAGTCCCTCGTGTCCTCTCCATCTTAATGTCAATCCCCTGTCTTCTCTGTCGTACTTCCCATCCCTTGTGTCCTCCCCTTCTTACTGTCCATCCCTCGTGTCCTCTCCATCTTACTGTCCATCCTTTGTTTCCTCTGTCTTACCGTCCATCCATCATATCCTCTCCGTCTTAATGTCCATCCCTCGTGTTCTCTCCGTCTTACTGTTTGTCCCTCGTGTATTCTCTCTGTCTTACTGTCGTTCCCTTGTGTCCTCTGTCTTACTGTCCATCCTTTGTGTTCTCTCCCTCTTAATGTCCGTCCCTCGTGTCCTTTCCATCTTACTGTCCATCCCTCTTGTCCTCTCTGTCTTACTGATCATCACATGTGTCCTCTCTGTATTACTGTCCATCCCTCATCTTCTCTCCGTCTTACTGTCCGTCCCTCGTGTTTTCTCTCTGTCTTACTGTCCGTCCCTCATGTTTTCTCTCTGTCTTGCTGTGAGTCCCTCTTGTCCTCTCCATCTTACTGTCCATCACATGTGTCCTCTCTGTATTACTGTCCATCCCTCGTCTTCTCTCCATCTAACTGTCCATCCCTCGTCTTCTCTCTGTCTTACTGTCCATCCCTTGTATCCTCCCCGTCTTCCTGTCCATCCCTCGTGTCCTCTCCATCTAACTGTCCATCCATCATATTCTCTCTGTCTTAATGTCCATCCCTTGTGTCATCTGCATCAAACTGTCCATCCTTCGTCTTCTCTCTGTCTTAATGTCCATCCCTCATGTTCTCTCCATCTTACTGTTTGTCCCTCGTGTATTCTCTCTGTCTTACTGTCGTTCCCTTGTGTCCTCTGTCTTACTGACCATCCTTTGTGTTCTCTCCATCTTAATGTCCGTCCCTCGTGTCCTTTCCATCTTACTATCCGTCCCTCATGTTTTCTCTCTGTCTTACTGTCAGTCCCTCGTGTCCTCTCTTTCTTAGTGTCCGTCCCTCATGCCCTCTCAATCTTACTGTCCATCCCTCATGTCCTCCTTGTCTTCTTGTCCGTCAATCTCATCATCTCAATCTCACTGTGAGTCCCTTGTGTCCTCTCCGTCTTACTGTGAGTCCCTCTTGTCCTCTCCATCTTACTGTCCATCACATGTGTCCTCTCTGTATTACTGTCCATCCCTCATGTCCTCCACATCTTACTCACTGTCCATCCCTCGTCTTCTCTCCATCTAACTGTCCATCCCTCGTCTTCTCTCTGTCTTACTGTCCATCCCTTGTATCCTCCCCGTCTTCCTGTCCATCCCTCGTGTCCTCCATCTAACTGTCCATCCATCATATCCTCTCCGTCTTAATGTCCATCCCTTGTGTCATCTGCATCAAACTGTCCATCCTTCGTCTTCTCTCCATCTTACTGTCAGTCCCTCGTCTTCTCTTCATCTTACTCTTTATCCCTCGTCTTCTCTCTGTCTTACTTTCCATCCCTCTTTTCCTCTCCATCTAACTGTCCATCCTCCGTGTCCTCTCCGTCTTGCTGTCAATCCCTCGTGTCATCTACGTTTTGTTGTCCAACAAATATAGTGTTATCATAAGTTTTTTTTTTTTTTAATTTATTCCGTCTATGATGCCCTAGTTTGTTTCTCGCTGTTACCACATTTACTGTCAAGAAATAAAGCAATATTTGACCTACGTGGCTGTATTATGAACTTTTGATTATACTCTGCATTTCCTTTCTTCCTTCTTGTTGTCTTCAGATACCATAGCATTCAGTCACTTCACCAAAGAAAATATTACCACTAGGTGGCACTGCCACTTTCTTTTGATGTATTTTGTTCACAATCATAATGTATATGCAACGGGAATTAAACATTACTGACTCTTGAGATTCATATTGCCTTCTGTGATTTTAAGTTTTAAACATCGTTGCAGAGGTAGCTATTTTTGAGTCTCACTGAAGCTCGCAAATTATACTTGAGTTTAAACTCACTCTATTGAGTATTAAGATAAATCCTTCACTCATGGGATGTTTATAATGAATGTAAAAAGTAAACAATCTGCCTTATTTCCAGGCAGAGAAAATTTGAACTTTTTTTCAATTTTGACTTCAGAGTCTACAGTGGCAGTTAGAACAGAAGTGTCATGAGGTGGAGGCTCTCATGGGTCAAAGGTCATTTTCTGAACGGAGACAGAGCATGGAGATAGACGACCTACAAAAAACTGTACAGGTGAGAAGTTGTGGATTTAAGATAAGGTGATAAATTGTTATATAGCCTTCAATGATTAATATTGGAGCGGGACTGGAAAGGGTTGATCACCGATGACCAAGTAGCTCAATTGGTTAGAGAGTCGGTCTAGATTTTGGAGGGTCCCGGGTTCGAACCTCGTTCTGGCCGTGCATTTTTCCTCTCCTGTTCGATATCAACAGAGAACATGATCATTCTTTCAGGTACTTTAGAGGACTTTTGAGGGGGTTGATGTGTTGTTATATTGACCTGATATAGTGGTATTACCTGAGAAAAAGTCTGATCAATATCATACTTTCAGGTCCACATCAATTTTATATCAATCCAATGAGGTTTTAGGACATCCTTAACCTTTTCCTATTTGTAAATTTCCATTTTCTCTCTTGATTTATTCATGACATGGAAATGTCTTTGTGTGAATATATATATATATATATATATATACATTTTGTGAATGTGAATTTGTGAATTAAACAAATTTCTAGATTTCAGAAATAAGCTAAGTGGAATACATTTTAAGCCCACCATCATCATTCAGATGGTGGGCTATTTAAATCGCCTGTCGTCCCTGCTTCTTATAATATTTTTTCTGTCGTGAATAGATTTTTGTTAGCAAAACACCTGGATAATGATTTTTGGCCAGTAACATGCTAGGATAAAGGACTAGCAAGTTTGTTCAAATAAATGACCTTTATTTATATTCAAGGTCACAAGGGTCAAATATGTTAAAAAACTTTAAACAAATTCTTCTAAATAACCGAAAACTCTAGGATGATGCTATTTGGCCAGTAGCATGCTGTGATGACGGGCTACCAAGTTTGTTCAAATGAATGACCTTGACTTATATTCAAGGTCACAGGGGTCAAATATGTTTAAAATCTTTTAACAACTTCTTCTGAATAACCAAGAGGCATAGGGTGATGATGTTTGGTCAGTAACATGCTGGGATGAAGGGCTACAAAGTTTGTTCAAACAAATGACATTAACTTATATTCAAGGTCACAGGGGTCAAATATGTTTAAAATCTTTTAACAACTTCTTCTGAATAACCAAGAGGCCTAGGGTGATGATGTTTGACCGTAACATGCTGTGATAAAGGGCTACCAAGTTTGTTCAAATGAATGACCTTCACCCATATTCAAGGTCACAGGGGTCAAATATGTAGAAATCTTTAAACAACTTTTTCTGAATAACCAAAAGCTTCAAGGTGATGAAATGTTTCCAGTAGCATGTGGGGATGAAGGGCTACCAAGTTTGTTCAAATGAATGGCCTTCCTCCATATTCAAGGTCACAGGGGTCAATTGTCTTGAAAACCTTTTAACGACTTCTTCTGTATAACCAAAAGGTCCAGGGTGATGATATTTGTCCATAAGGATGTTGGAATGAAGGGCTTCCAAGTTTGTTAAAATGAATGACCTTCATCCATATCCAAGGTCACAGGGGTCAGTTGTCTTGAAAACCTATAAACGACTTCTTTTGTATAACCAAAAGGTCCAGGATAATGATATTTGTCCAGAAGGATGTTGACATGAAGGGCTACAAAGATTGTTCAAATTAATGACCTTTGCTCTTATTCAAGGTCACAGGGGTAAAATATGTTGATACTTTAAATGACTTCTTTTGAATAACTAAAGCATACAGGGCGATTACTTGTTAATGTGAATAAACTTGACACAATTTCATGGTCACATCTGGTCCATAGTACACAAATCTTTAAAAGTCATCTTCTCAATAACCAAAGGTATAAGGTGGTGATATTTGGCAAGTTGCATTCTGGGAGGAAGGGCTAGGAAGTTTGTTCAACTTAATGTCCATGTTCGACTTTCAAGCTTTATTTAAGGTAACAATTGTGAGATTAATATCAGGTGAGCGATGCAGGCCCATTGGGACTCTTGTTTTGGATTGAGTATGACAAAGTTTGTGAATGAAAATGAATTTGACCTACTTTCTAGGTCACAGGGGTCAATATGTCAAAAACATCAAACGGCTCCTGAATAATTGAAAGCCGACAAAGTTTACAATTTAACTGTTTGTAGTACAGTATAATATCTTAAGAGAATATTTTACTATGACTGCTTAAATATCAAGGTGAGCAATACAAGCCCTATGTGCCTTTTGTTCGGCTCTTGTTTATTATTTCAACATGGAAAATCTTTAGATGTAAATGTACAGTGGTGGCTTACTTTGTCCTTTGTGTAGGTGTGTGTGTGTGTGTGAGAGGGAGAAGGGTGAAGTTGTTTACATTCCCTTTCTGACTCAAAGGATATACAAAATTCAATGCTTGTAGAATCAGCAAGCTGAGTTGGAGAATCTAAGAGAGGAGTTAGCTGTTGTGAGACAGGAGAGGTCGGTGTCACAGACTGAGATGTCACAACTACGAGCCACGCTGAAGGCCTCCATACAGCATCACAAGGTATAGACTGTTAAGACACACTTCATATTTGTCATTTCAACTATCCAATATCAAAACCTGCAACTAGTAAAGAAATGTTTGAACTCATGTTAAGAATTGGGTGATATATATGGGGTTCACGTAGCATAGCTGATAGTACTCATCTATTAACCACATATGGTTGTACGTTTAGATCTCACAGCGATTGACTTTCGGAATTCCAGATGTGACGACACAACCTGGAAATATAATGGACTTTGCTACATCTGGTGGCAGTCACCATTACTGAAGATAAAAAAGAGGCAACTTTGTGCTAGCATATGTATCTAAATATTATGACCAACTCAAATAAAATTGTATCTTTACAAATAGCAAGACTCTTGAGCAATTTATAAAAGATGGTCCATATTACACATATCAAATTTTATTTTGAGACTGATCAGAAAATTGAGATGGCCACCAGACAGCCATCTTGAATGTTGACAGTTTAATTTTGTAAGCGCTATTTTATATGTAATGTTCTCCCTGTTAAAAATACGCCTGGCCCTAATGAGAATTATTTTCTCATTTATAGCACTTAATTCTTATTTTGTAAGAGTTACATTTTTTTTTGCATTTTACATAGAGTTGTCATTGTGGCAAATAACCTATGACATCACAAGGTTAAAGTTAATGTAGCAGATTCCTTGTTTAGGATTCCAACATGGGACTGGGTAATCTGTAAGGAAAATGAAGAGCAAAGATCCTCTTTTGTGTATCTAATGAAGATTCCTTTCATGGTGGGCACCAAGAGCCTTCTAGGATCCCTGCATATTTTATATACCATCCGATATTTAATCTAGTTTGACACAGAATGGTTGAGTTGTCAAAAAAATAAAAGCTTTGAGGTACTCGAATAGCAATCAATAATCAATGTATTAATGATCCAAACTCAAGTCAGAATCTGACTTTTTTTTCAGCTTAAGCAGTCAAATTAATTGTATCGATCGACTTTTCCGATCAGCTTTTCGATGGCTCTTTAATGTCTGTCGACTTAGCATGCTTGTCCTTTCCTATCAACTGCTGATCCAAGTCACTGCCGACAGTACTACCTACATGTACTGTCGGCTTTCATCTGTGATGTTCAATCAGCCGTTACCGATAACTATCAGTGGTGTCGCTGATCAGAGACATATTAAGTAGATTTTACTTAAAACAACCTGAATAACCAAAAGGCCTAGGGTGAGGATATTTGGCCAGAAGCATACTGGGATGAAGCACTACTAAGTGTTTTCGAATNAGGCCTAGGGTGTTGATATTTGGCCAGTAGTATGCTGGGATGAAGGGCTACCAAGTTTGTTCAAATGAATTACCTTCACCTATATTCAAGGTCACAGGGGGGTCAAATATGTTGAAATCTGTAAATAACTTCTTCTAAATAACCAAGAGTCCTAGGGTGTTGATATTTGGCCAGTAGTATGCTGGGATGAACACTACCAAGTTTGTTTAACTCAATGACCTTTTCCTATAGTCAAGGTCACATGGGTCAAATATGTTGAAATCTTTAAATAACTTCTGAATAACCAAAAGGCCCAGGATGATGATATTTGGCCATTAACATGCTGGGATGTTCATAGTTTGTTCAAATAAACGACCTTTGTCCATATTCAAGGTCACAGGAGTCAGATATGTTAAAATATTTAAACAACTTCTTCTGAATAACCAGAAGACTTTGGGTGATGATATTTGGCCAGTAGCAGCATGCTGGGATGAAGCGCTACCAGATTTGTTCAAATAAATGACCATCACCCATATTCAAGGTCATAGGGGTCAAATATGATAAAATCTCTGAATGACTTCTTCTGAATAACTAAAAAGGTCCAGGGTGATCGTTTGTTGACATATGAATGACCTTGAGACACTTTAAAGATCACATCTGGTTAATTGTGTATAAATCTTTAAAAGTCATCTTCTTAATAAGCAAAAGGTTTAGGGTGTGATATTTGGCTAGTTGCATACTGGGATGAAGGGCTATGAAGTTTGATAAAATAACATCAATATATATGGCACGATAGAAAAAATGTAAGAAGGTATCGTTAGAGAGCACTTCAGTTTTACAGATAACTGGATCATGAAATCTATTACCCACATGTATAATTGATAAATCCTGTCATTTACGTTCAAATTCTCTCTCTCCCTTTCCTAATATATTGATGTACTGTATAATTGTAAAGGTTTAAAAATGAAAATGACCCTGACCAACTTTCCAAGTCACAGGAGTATACTATGTAAAAGCTTCAAATGACTTCTTAAGAACAAAAAGGCATAGAATTGTGATATTTGGTTCGCACACTTTCCTGAATAGATCTCAACAAAGTTTGCTAATGAAATGAAAAGTCTTTAGAAGAATTCCAAGTCATGGTATTTAGGTGGGAGCTTCCTTAGATGGAGCCCAAAATCTTTTGAAAATGATAAAATGTATTCACATCTTTAAATGACTTTCTGTGTATAACCAATAAACACAGAGTGATGGTATAAGACAAGTGGCATAATAGAATCAAGGGCTACAAGTTGTGTTTAAATGAATGGCATATATCCTGATATTCAATGTCACTGGGGCATTGTAGCTCAAACCTCCATGTCCGTCTTCCGCTCATCAACTTTTCCTTTAAAACGCTAGTAGTCCTGAACAGCTTTATGCATTTTAACTAAATTTAGCTTTTGTATAAACGGAGGTTGTGGTCCCACTGGGTGCAGAGGGTCTGGGCCTGATAGGGAGATTTGAGGTTTAAATCTTCAAAAATCCTTCCCCTTCTGTACTATTGGAGGAATGTTATCCAAATTTGGCCTGGAGCATGTTGGGCAAAGGGGACTAATTTTGTATAAACGAAGGGTGTGGACCGTCTGGGTGCAGAAGGAGTTTAATTAAATCTCTAATATCCTTCAAAATTTGGCTTGGAGCATCCTTTGGCAAAGGGGAGTCAATTTTGTATAAATGGAAGGTATTGCCCCTCTGGGTGCAGAGGGGCGGTCCCAATAGAGAAAATTGAGGCAAATCGTTGAAATCCTTCTTCTGTGCCATTGAATGGATTTTAACCAAAATTCAAAGCATCCTATATGGGCAAGGGGCCTCAATTTTGTTTAAAAGGAGAGATAGTGCTCCCCATGGGAGGGGGGGGGGGGGCAGAGGGGTGAGGCCAAGTAGGGGGAATGTAGCAATACATAATTGAAATCCTTCTCCTTTTGTGTGATTTGAGCGATTTTAACAAAATTTTATTTAGAGCATCCTTTTGTATAAATGGAGGGTTGCTTTTAGGGGGCAGAGGCGTAGGGCCCAATGGGTAAATTAAGGTTAATGTTTAAAATCCATCCCAAACCATGGGGGCAGAAAAAAGGGATGAGGGTTTGTAGTTGCTGAGAGACTGAGCCAATATTTGGAAAAAGTATTTCATGTCATAGGAAAAGTGTTCTATGGTTCCTTTATTATCCAGGTGAGCATTACAGGTCCTCTGGATGTCTTGTTAATGATTCTTCTGAATAGCCAAGAGGCCTAGAGGGATACTATTCGACCAGTGTTTAAAGGAATGACCAAACTGGCCTACTTTCTAGATCACAGGGATCAAATGTGTTAAAATCCTCAAACAAATTCTTCTCGATAACCAAAAGATGATGTTTGCAATTAAGGGCTATCAATTATGTTTAACTGAATATCTTTGTTTGACTTTCATGGTCGCTGGGGTCAAATGTGTTTAAATCTTGTAACAGGTTGTTTTGAATATAACCAAGAAACATAGGTAGGATGTTGGTCCACTTCGAAGCTTAAACGTGTAAGAATAATAGCAGGTGAGCTAGGCAGGCTTATTGGGCCTCTTTTTATTGTTGCTGTCATGGAATAATTTTGCAAATAAAATAAATATGATCATTTTATGTATGAAATGTATAATTGTAATCATGTTATCATTGCTTGGGTTGTAGCTGACACAGAAGTTGAATGAAAATACAGCAGAAGATTATGGAGGAGGTTTGCGTGACACAGGCACACAGGTAGAAAGTCAGGATCTTCCCTTGATACCACCCCTGCCCTTTGACCTTGACATCGTAGAAAAGTTGCTACAGGATTCCACAGTTAAGGCTCTGGAAAGCAAGTAAGTGGTCATCAATAGTTGTGCACTGAATAACTTACTATTATCAGTATTGAATATTGTCATAATCTACATTAGGAAAGCATGAAATCAAGATTTTGTATTTCTAGTTACAGGTTTTGATGAAATGTATAAGTTTGAAATATTTTGATAACAAACGTATATGTATGTACTACATTTAAACATGAATTTAAATATTTGAATAGTAAACATTGTGCTCGGTTTTAGAGTAGTAAAGTATTGCATTCATTTAAAAAGACAACAAGAGAATATCGAAATGTCATGAAAACCATAATTAGGGCCCCGTATCGGGAGTTATGGGTGCCCTATATATATAGTAATCATTGTCTGTCCGTCCACAAATTTTGTTCCTGGCTGATAACTTTGGTATTTATTGACCGATGTACATGAAACTTGGTCAAGATGTTCAGTTTACAAAAATACACATTAAGGTAAAAAGTCAAGGTAAAAGGTCAAGGTCATTAGGTTAAAAGGTCAAGGTCAAATTTTGCATCTTTTCACTGATGAACATTTTGTTATGGCATGATGAAGCAAAGTTGATCAGAATTAAACAAGGAGTCAACCTGACCAAATGTCAAGTTCATTGGGTCAAAGGTCAAGGTTAAATTTTGTATCTTTTCACTGGTGAACATTTTGGTATGACACTTTGAAGCAATGTTGCTCAGAATCAAACAAGGAATCAACGGATTAAAGGTCAAGGTCATCAGCTCAGAAGTCAAGGTCAACTTTTGTAGCTTTTCACTAATGTGCATTTTATGACATTATGAAGCAAAGTTGTTCGGAATTAAACAAAGAGACACACTGAGGTAAAAAGTTGAGGTCAAACATTAAGGTCATTTGATTCAAAGGTCAAGGTCAAATTTTGCATCTTTTCACTGATGAACATTTCGTTATGACATGATGAAGCAAAGTTGATCAGAATTAAACAAGGAGTCAACCTGACGAAATGTCAAGGTCATTTGGTCAAAGGTCAAGGTTAAATTTTGTATCTTTTCACTGGTGAACATTTTGGTATGACACTTTGAAGCAATGTTGCTCAGAATTAAACAAGGAGTCAATTGATCAAAGGTCAAGGAAACTTGGTCAGAGGTCAAGGTCAAATTTTGTTATGACATTATGCAGCAGTGTTGCTCAGAATTAAACAAGGAGTCATTTGACCAAAGGGCAAGGTCGCTGGGTCAAAGGTCAAGGTCAAATTTTGTATCTTGTCACTGAACGTCATCTCTGACTTTGACCCTGGCTCTTGATGGAGATCGAGGTATATATTGTGAAATAAAACAAATCAAAGCTAACAAATGAGTATTGCACCGGTATTTACATTTCTGTTGGCCAGCAAATATGGAGGTGGAAGGAAACAAGACTCACATCATAGTACATGTAAAATGTATATTGTGCTTCCTAGCGACTCTTTTTGAAGTCCAAATGTCAAAAGTCAAGCTCAGCTATATGGGCAGATTGCTTCTTGATGATTATGGGGGATATATTGCCACAAGATGGGGCCCTTACTGACCTGTCAGTGTTCTAGTTTGAACTGAAAATTGTTAAAATGTGTATGAATAAAGATTTACACACATACCTTTGAAACATAAAAGTAGAATAAGACCAGGTCCACAAGGGAAGGCATCTTCTGCATAATCGTCGACACATAATGTCAAATCTATGTAAAATCCAAGTAATGTCACTTCCTTGTTTCGACTTCCATTGACTTGCAACACAAATTTGACATTTAATTCAGTCAAATTGATTACTATACTCTATCAACAGGATCAGTTCATTGTTGTCATTCAGTTACAGTGTATGATTGATGTCATGAATTAACTTAACTCAGAGTTACACCAATTTTGAATTTCGACAAAGTTGGGGAGTATATAATATTCGCTATGTCTATAGGTGTGTTGGTCTGCCTTCTCAGTGCTGATAATGTGGATTCTGGAACACTGTTTCCTGAATGGGCATCAAACTTTGTACATCGTGTAGAGTGATTTGTCACATCCTAAAACAAGTCGCTGTGACCCCCAATTCCACCTTTGAATTAGTGTTACTCTACAGCATGTTTTAGCCATGGGGACCCCGCACTTTGAGATATATCTAAGTTTGATTGTTACATGGAATATTGCCGTATATTTCATACCCAGGAAACAGGAAATCAATGCTTTAAATGATTGAATAGCCAAAAAAAAAGAACCGTATCAACCATCAGTGTTGTTGTGTATGGGCATATTTTTCAGGATTGAAACTCTGTATTTATCGGCAAGTGATCGTATGCTACACCACGCTCATTTACCTTGCCAAATAATCACATGGCTGTCACATGACAATTCTATCTTTTCACCAACACAGCAAAAAAGGTAACCGAGGTTAATGAAAACAATCTATAGTTCCCAACTAGTATTGATTTCTATATTTAACAAACAGTACACTTATGTCAGGATGTATCTATTGTTAGAAAAGTATCTTGATACATAATACTACATTAAAGGCATCTATGTAATGGTAAAATTGTTTTGTTGCCACCAGAAGAAACTTGCAATATGGTTTTATAAAGTATCAAGAGCACCTAGATTCTGATAGCTTAGTTTTGGAAATGAAACAAAACCCAGAGTGAAGGAAATAGTTTTAGACTCACCTGCCCGAAGGGCAAGTAGCTAGCTAGGATGATGGGCAATCAATTTTGTTCAAATGAATGACCTTGACTTATATTCAAGGTCACAGGGCTCAGATATGTTTAAAAACCTTTTAACAACTTCTTCCCAGTTACTCAAAGGCCTAGGATGATGATATGTGGCCAGTAACATGCTGGGATAATGGGCTACTAAGTTTGTTCAAACGAATGACCTTGAAATATATTCAAAGTCACAGTGGTCAAATATGTTTGAATCCTTTAAACAACTTCTGAATAACCAAGAGGCCTAGGATAATGATATTTGGTCAGTAATTTGCTCGGATCAAGGGCTACCAAGTTTGTCCAAATGAATGACCTTTACATAAATTGAAGGTCACAGGGGTCAAATATGTTTAAAGCCTTTGAACTACTTCTACTGAATAACCAAAAGGCCTAGGATTATGATATTTAGCAAGTAACATGCTGGGATGAAGGGCTACCAAGTTTGTTCAAATAAATGAACTTGATTATATTCAAGGTCACAAGGGTCAAATATGTTCAAAATCTTAAAACAACTTCTTCTGCATAACCATAAGGTGTAGAATGTTGATATCTGTCAGTAGCATGCTGGGATTAAAGACTACCAAGTTTATTCAAATGAATGAACTTGATTATATTCTAGGTCACAGGGGGTAAAATTTGTTTACAACCTTGAAATGACTTCTTCTGAATGACCATGAGGCCCAAAATGTTGATATTTAGCCAGTAGCATGCTACGATGAAGGGCTATCAAGCTTTTTAGCTCACCTGGTCGGAAGGACCATGGTGAGCTTATGCCATATCGCAGCGTCCGTCGTCCGTCATCTGTCCGTCCGTCAACCTTTCTTTTAAAACGCTACTAGTCCTGAACGGCCAAGTAGATTTTGACTTAATTTGGTATAGAGCATCCTTGGGTGAAGGGAAACCAATTTTGTATAACCCGTGGGTCGGCCCCCCTGGGGGCCTGAGGGGCGGGGCCCAATAGGGGGAACATATAGCAAATTATTCTTTAAAATCCTTATTATACTATAGGAATGAAAGGATTTGTTCCATATTTGGTCTGAAGCATCCTTGGGACAAGGGGTCTCAATTTTGTATAAACCGTGGGTCTAGCCCCCCAGGGGCCTGAGGGGTGGGGACCAATAGGGGAAACATAGCAAATTATTCTTTAAAATCCTTCTTATACTGTAGGAATGAAAGGATTTGGTGTGTGGAGCATCCTTGGGTAAAGGGGAACCAATTTTGTATAAACGGTGGGTGTGGCCCCCCTGGGATCTAAGAGGTTGGGCCCAATTGGGGAAATAGATGTCTGGAGCATCCTTGGGCAAAAGGGACTCAATTTCGTAAAAGCAACGAAGGGAGGGGCCCAATAGGGGAAACATAGCAAATTCTTCAAATCCCTTCTTTTTCTGTACGAATGGCAGGATTTTGTCCAAAGAGATATGGCGGGTTGCTATGCCTATTTCCCCAAAGCTATGTTACGCTAGTGCGCTCATCCAACCGTGCACTGTTATGACGCGTCCTCAGGTATTTTTTATACAGGTAGCAATATCGGAATCCCATGTCTAAAAATAGATTATTGTAAACAGACCACATTTTTGGTATTTCGGCATTATTTGTTGATGTTTAAGCACTTGATATAATTACTTTTGCCAGTTGGATGGTAAAACAATTCATAAATTTCATCAAAAATAGTGTCTTACCTGTACTGTACATGTGTGCAGGGATTTGTTGACATTCTTCGATAGAAGTATTTCACACTAAATAGTAAAGAAATTATTACTCACAAAACTGATAAATCAATAAGTATGTTATAAAAATGTAAACAAAATCTTCCATCGATTTAAAAAAAACACCACCATTGCCTTATTAAGGAAAATGATCACATGCCTAAATATTTAAAAAAAAAAAAAACTGAAAGAGGATTCGAACCTGCACTGTTTATTTTCTAGTCGTAAGTAAACTGCGTTACACATTTGACTACATAGAACATATAGATATTGGCAATTACAAACTTATTTAACCCGGGAAACACCGGTCGCAGTTTAGAGAAACTTGTTCACCCCTGTTTTTCATTATTTTGAGCACTTTCCCAAAGGAGGACCACTTTTCCGTAAAACGATTTGTTTTTGCATATTACATCACGGTCACAAAAAGTTTATTCAAAAGTTGGTCCTCGGATGGGAAAGTGTTGAAAGTACTTTTTTAACTCCGCGAAACCCCATCACTTTCATAGATATAGTGTATATGGCTATATTTGCAGTATCATATTAGCAATACCTAATTTCTCAGCAGTTTAAAAATTCATATGCAATTGGTTTTGTATCTTTTGTATGCATTT